AGCCCCCAAACTTGCTGTTCGAACTTCTGTGTAAGGAACAAATGCGTAAACCTTCATCCTGTGGAAGCCTTGATCATTTTGGTCACAGTAGCCTAGACTTATCCTCACTAATTAATACACTCTTAATTGAAAATCCTGAACATTTCTAGCATGACTTTTTCTGGCCCAGACACCAAAAATAAATAAATAAATAAATAAATAAATAAATAACAAGAACAGATGAACTTGACTTTCTGTAAGTCACATGGGGGAGTTAACTGTTCCTTCAGGTCAGAAGGGCTCACTCAGCTGACTCTTCTAGGTTTAGAATGAAGCACAACAGCTTCTGTCTTTTTCTACATCAATAAAGATTATGGTGTTTTTCTTAGTGACCAACTTCCTGCTGTGACCTGAACTCGATACAGAACAGGCTTTTGCTTTTGGCCATAGGGAAAGGGCTCCCAAAGCAGTGTCTCCTAGAACTGTTTGTTCAGGAATGCAAAGACCCCTAAGGGAGACGGCACAAAGATCTGGGTTACACAAGCATGTGAGACAATTGCTATTAAATTGCTTTTTTAGGATAAGCTGCAGGGCTTAGGGAGGACTTCAGGAAACAGGAAAAAACCTGCTGCTGAAGACCCTGAGAGGTGACCCCTGGCAGGCAGAGGTATTCCAATTTCTTCCCTCTCTTCTAGTATGTGCTGGGCACAGAGGTCTGGACAATGGCACCTCTTTTTCCCATCCAAGTTCTGGCCTATGAATCAAAATAGTCAGCAAAGTTAACTGTAATTAATTAAGCTGATATTTTAAAGTGTGGATCATATGTGTAGACAATCCTATTTTGAGTCCCAGAATGAGGTAGCCTCCCACTGCACCGTGGAGGGACAAAACGGAGCACACCCCTTAAGGACAGCTTCCTGCAGAGCAGCTCCTGCAGCTGGCCCCAGCTCTTGAAAGCATGGTGGCCAGCAGCATCCGGAAGCCAGCAGTTCCCTTGAAACCCTGCTGGGGAAGTGCCTTCTTCATGCAGAGTCTTCAGCAAGACACCTCCTTGTGCACACCTTCCCTGGCATCCCTGGGGGGCATATTCCAGCAAGTTCTCCACAGGGACTTCCTGCCAGGCACTGGGCCAGGGCCACGCTGTCTCCAGCAAGGTCTGGACTTAGCCCTGAGGAGGGGCTCTTCCTTGGGCACTCAGTATCAGGAGTCGGGGCTGCTCCCTACGTCTGCCCTTCCAACTCTAGGATTCTACAGGCATTTGACTGTCTTATCTCTAACCTTCAGGATCTGGAAGCAAGATCATTTTTGTATTGATTGGGTCCAAGGAGAAATGCTGAGATACCATGTCACACCCACTAGAATGGTACCATCAGAAATATTACAGGTGCTGTGGAGGGTGTGGAGAAACCAGAACCCTGGTACACTGCTGGTGGGAATGTAAAATGGCCCAGCAGCTTTGGACAGCAGTCTAGCAGTTCCCCAAGCAGTTAAACATTCCCCGCCTAGGCATATACCCAAGAGAAATGAGAACATGTGTCTGCACAAAAACTGGGACATGAATGTTCAGAACAGCATTATTCATAATAGCCGGAGTGGAGACAATCCAAATGTCTGCCAACTTATGAATGAATAAGCAAAATGTGGTCTCTACTAAAAATCAACACTATTCAGCTCTAAGAAGGCATGAAGCACTAACACATGGGCCAGCATGGATGAATCTTGAAAACGTTATTCTGAGTGAAGGAAGTCAGGCATGAAGGCCACATATTAGGCCAGGCATGGTGGCTTCATGCCTTTGGGAGGCTGAGGTGGGAGAATTGCTTGAAGCCAGGAATTTGAGACCAGACTGGGTAATGTAGCAAGACCCCGTCTCTACAAAAAAA